TAAAGTTAAGACCGGCGCTGCGCTTGGCCCCGCGGCCCCGACTCCCCGAGCCTCAACCCCATCCACCACCGCGGGTGTTTTATGTGCAGAGCGCAGCAGACCGAGAAAAGCAGGAAAAACTGCGGGAACGCCAAAGCCACGGCCCTGCCAAAGGTGCTTATTCCACGGGCTGGAAATGTGGCACCGCCACTACTTTCACGGACACGAGTGGACCCGTCCTACCCCTGCCCCTGCCCCTGCCCCTGCCTGGGCCCTTCCTCCCCACCCAAACACGCCGAGTCCTGCAAACCTCGTCGGGAGCGCTCCTGGAATTCCTCGCGGAGCAGGAGGGGAGCGCTGGCTGGGCTGCCCACGGGACGGGAGTCCCGCGTGGGCCCCCCATTCTGCAAGGTGCTGTTGGCAGGATTGCCAAAAACAAAACAAAACAAAACGAAAAAAAGGGCTTTGAACCCCCTCTCCCTGAGCCTTTCCCTCGGGAATTCCCCTCCGCGCACCAGCGCAAAATAAACCCCTCGGGCTCGAGCCCAGCGTGGGGTGCCGGGCGGTGCGAGAGAGCTGCTCAGAGAGTTTGTTTTGGGGGTGCTGGGGAGTTATTTTCAGGCCTCGTTTTCCTCTCTGTTTCCCCCCTCTGGGAAGGGAAAGAAAGGAGAAATATCCCCCCGCAACGCAGCTCACCTGGGAAAGAAACGCTTTCCCTTTATCTCCCACCCGGTGAAGTTTTCCCCTCCGACCCAGAGGGGAAATGTTGTTTAAATAACAGTGGGGTTTGCTCGCGTCCGATTTATCATTCAACAACAACGTATCAGTGAAAACACGGTCCGAATATTTCAATAACTTACTGTTTTATTTATTCTCCTTAATTATTTTCGTCCCTGGCGTGGAGTTTTTTTATTAAAACGGTCCGGGGCAAGCCCTTGCCCGAAAATCCCTGCAACCACCTCGAACTCACCGAGTTCCACACCGCGAATCCACCTCGATAGGTTCGGGCCACCCTTGCAGCAACGTGATTTTTCTTTCTTTTCTTTTTTTTTTTTTTTCTGACGGGATTATGTTGAAAACATTGGCAAAACCGCCCTTTCTCGAAACCACCGTAATTTGTCAGAAACGGAACATGCTCCCCTCACGCTTTCCTTTGCCACCCAGTCGCTCGTTCCTATATTTTGTTTACAGGACTCAGAAATGTCCCATCTAGTTTCCTTCTCGGGGTTAGCGATCGCAGAGATCATAGTATCGGACTCCTTAGGATCCGCCTTGATATACAGCTAATTTTCCACACATACATATATATATATGTAAAATATATATAATATTTTTTTCCCCGTATATTTTATTTTTTACCTCTGCTAATGCGTCCGGTTTCGGCGGCGGGCGGAGGTTGCATTGAATTTTGAGAATTTCCCCGTGAGGCTGAAGTTTCTTTTCGACGGGTGTTTTGGTTTTGTTTTTGTGGTTTGGTTTTGGTTTGTTGGGGGGTTTTTTTTGGTTTTGGGTTTTTTTTCTTTTTTTCTTTTTCTAGATTAATTTAGGTTTGTTTTGCTCGGCGAAAAGTCCCAGCCGGAACACGCTTCCTTAAAAAAGAAAAATACGGCGGCGGGTTTAATCGCCGACTACATCTGCCGTCTCCAAACCTGCTCCAAGCGTGCCCAGGAGAGAGGTTACCCCTGAGAGGAGGGCAGGGGGCTGCTCCTATTTTGCGGGTAAAAAGGGCAGTGCAGGAGGGTAAAAAGGGGCCCATCGCCCGGTGCTCGCCGGTGCCAAGGGTTTCGCTCGGATTTCCTTGACCTGGAACCAGCTGGAGCCTAAATCGCAGCCAGGACGGCGGGGCAGGGCGCCCGTTCCCGATGCCCGCGGTCCTCCCTACAAACCCCGCGTCAGCCGAGGGACGGGACCCGCTACCTGAGCCAGGAGGGGACGGGTTTTGGGACGGGACAAGAGGCCGGACGGGCCGATCCCGTCCTTGCCCCGCATTTCAAGCAGGGAAGGCAGAAGGTGCCCCAGTCTCCCTACTCGCCATCCCCCGGGGAGCGGTGGCCCAGACGGGGAGAGCCGGGGCAGCGGTGCCGGCGGCGGGGAGGTTAAAGAGCGTGGCCTTTCCCTCGGCACCGCCGGGCCGGGCTCTTTCTGGTGTAATAGGATAATTACAGAGGGGCGGGCGAGCTTAAGCAAACACACTCGCCCGCCGCCCAGGCCTCTCCCGGGGATTAATATTAAGGACCGGTGTATTGTGTTTTGCAAACGGGTGATCCCATCCCCCCTCCCGGTGCCCTCCCTGCACCCGAGGTTGTGGAGCCGCGTCTCGCCCGGCGCTCTGCTGGTCCCTCCTTCCCTCCTCTCCTCCTCCCCGCTTTAATCCCCCGCCTCATCCCCGCTTCCCCCGCACGGCGGGTGCGGGAGCCACGCGTGTCCGGGGGTGTTGCGAGAGCGGGCGGGCAAGGTCTGCTCCCCCTGGGATGGGGGTGTGTGTGCCCCGTGGGGCGGGATAGGGACACACAAGTGCGGGCCGAGGTGCCACCGGAGCGCGAAGGGCTCGGTGTCAAAGCCCGGCTCAGTCGTGCCCAGGCTGGGGTTAATTCCGTCACTCAGGACGTGACTCTGGTGGGGAGGGGACACCGGGCATCGCTGTGTGACAACCCCTGCCAAGGTGGCCCCGAGCCCTGCGGTTACAGCCCCGCCAGCTCTGCGGGGCCGCCAGGACGGAGGGGGCTCGGCGGGCCCCGGCCAAGCCCGGGCGCTCCGGGAGTTGCTTCAGAGTCCCCCGGAGAGCTGTTTCGGCAGCTCCGGGGTTAAGCCCCGGTCACCGTCGGCCCGCCGGGCAGAGCAGAGTCACGTCGGGGGCTGAGGAGCAGCGGCTGCCGGCGGGGAGGGCGCGGGGCGGCCCCTCGGCCCCCCCTTCCACCGCGTGTCCGAGGGGCCACGTGTAAATATATGTATGTGTGTGTGTAAATATATATATATGTGTGTGTGTGTGTACATATATATATATGTATGTGCGTGCATGTACTCCTGTGCATATATTTTTATATATTTATATATTTGTTTATATATTTATATACCTCCATACATACGCACACGTATAATGTCCGTGCAAAACGTGCATATACGGCGTAAGTGAGTGCGGGATATACGTGCGTGTGAATAGACGAGCCACGCGTACCTGAGGGTGTGCAGGTACGTTTTAACCAGAGCCAAAAGAACGAGGGAAAGGGCTTGGGGTGACTTCATGGCGCTGCCGTGGGTCTGGGGAAGGGGGTCCCACGCGTGTCGCGCCTTCCCCCCACCCGGGGAGGGTACGAGGGGCCCCCCTCGGCGCCACGGGGTCAAGACCGGTGCATCGAGAGAGGGCAGGGGACGGGGTAAGGGGGTCCCGGGGCTCCTCCGGCCGCTCAGGGAGGTCGGGGGGAGGGGGTTTCGGGCTGCCACAGCAAAGGGCCTCCCCCCCCCGGCTCCCCCCGGCCCGACCTCCCGTCCCATCGCAAGTGCTAATTGCGGCTCTTTTCTGGCTCCTCTGTATTTGGGTCCCTCGGAGGGCGCTGCGCGGGAGGACACGTCACGGATACATTATCCCCTCCCCTCTTGAGGCTCTGCTGGCTTTCCGCAGCCTTTGCTAAAGAATTAACCGAGAGGTCCACTTCAGAGCTCCTCCTGCCCCTGGAAAAAAAAAATTAAAAAAAAAAAAAAAAGGAAGGAAAGAAAAGAGAAAGGAAAAAAAAAAAAAAAAAGCGGAGATATCGGTGCTTTCAGGCGAGGAGCGTGGCGGCTATGATTTCCGAGAGGAGGGGAATTTTACCTTCGATCCTTGCCGTATGGTGAGGATCGCTGCTCCTTGCGGGAGGTGAATGTAGCAAACCCTCCCCTCGCCTTTGAAAGGCATGTCTATGCCAAAGAGCCACCGCTTTGCTCTTTAAATGCGTGACAAATAAATAAATAAAAAGAAATAAAAAAGAAAAAGAAAAAAAGAGAAGCGATTCCTGATCTTACAAATTCTTTTTTTTCTTTAAAAGGAGGAAAAAAGGGGGAAAAAAAAAAAACCAACCAAAACCAACAACAATAAATAAAACCAACAAAATCAATCCCGCGCCTTTGCCAGCGCTCGGACTTGTTTGGAAAGAGACAACGCTGAAGTGGCACTGGTCCCGAGGAAAACGGATCCTTTAATTTGACTCCGCATGAGAACCACATTTGGAGCTGGGCGCAGCGGCCGGAGCGGCAGGAACAGCCCCGCAGCCCCCCGTGCCCGCAACCCCGCCGCCCGCGGGGCTCGGAGCCCCCCGCGCCCCGGCGCTGCAGGAGCCCCTCGGGGCCGGGGGAAGAGCCCTTCGGCCGCAGGACCAGCCTGTCGAGAGGGAAACGTCCGAGGGAAATGCGAGCTCGTGATTTCGGAGCGCTCCAGCCATCAGCTCCCTCCGCGCCGCCTTTGACTTTCGCTTAGCGAGGGGTTCGTCGTCTCCGCGGCATCTCGGGCTCCGGGACCAGATCATTTTGCACTTCGTTCAACGAGCAGCGCGGTCGTTCCGTTCCTTTCTTTTTTTTTTTTTTTTTTTTTTTTTTTTTTTTTTTTAAGAGACAAAATGTCCAAAAATGGTTCAGCCTGCTTAGCTCAATGATTTCTTGCATGGACGCTCTACTTTTAAAATATATCATTTTTTAATTGTTATTTTTGGACGGGGAAGGATTGAGCAGAAGAAATCCTTCAGTGAAGGGAACCCAGTGGTTTGCTCCCCGTGGAGGAGAAGATCCGATTCCCAGCTGCAGGCAGAGGACGGAGGTTCGCGTGGGTCTTTCAGCCTGGGTTTCGAAGCTCTCGCTATTGCAGGGCCAGAGCAGAACTGCCTTCTCCGAGCGGCTTTCCTATCCCGGTTGTGGCTCAGAGATCGCCTCCCCCCTCCTCGCACCATTTCTGTTGGTGTTGTTTTTGTTCGGTTGGTTTGGCTTTTTTTTTTTTTTTTTTTTTTTTTTTTTTTTTTTTTTTTTTTTTTTTTTTTTTTTTTTTCACTTCCCCTTTTTGTCTTTTTATTCCCCCTCTCCCTTTATTATTATTATTATTACTATTATTATAATTGTTTGGTTTGATTCGGGTGAGCTCTCTCCCTTCCTCGAACGAAAACACTAACTCTGACGCCGAAATCCATGCCCCCCTGCAACTCGGAGGAATCGGGTCTAATATGCCAGTGACATCCTCGCCTTGCAGTAGTCGCGATGAAGGAAAAATCCAAGAACGCGGCAAAGACTAGACGGGAAAAAGAAAATGGAGAATTCTACGAACTGGCCAAACTCCTGCCCTTGCCCTCGGCCATCACCTCCCAGCTGGACAAGGCGTCCATCATCCGCCTCACCACCAGCTACCTGAAAATGCGAGCCGTCTTCCCCGAAGGTAAAACCCCGCCGGGGCTCTCACGGGAGGGACGGGGGGACACCGTGGATAGAAAAAGAGTGGGGAGGGGGTGGTGGGGTGGGCACACACCTCGAGGCGAGCCCGTATAGCCACAGCGTCCTGGGAGGAGGGGGAGATGCCTGCAAGGATCCCAAAACCGGGTGGCAAGCGAGGAGTGATCGAGGGAAAAGGCGCCCTGGGTGGAAAGGAGCCCGCCTGCCTGGGGAGAGGAGACAGCGCTGCACTGCCCAAAACCCGGCTGTGGCGGGGGCCAGACCCGCCTGGTTAATCCCCCCCTTCTCTCCTTCCCCTTTTGCTGTCGGTTCAGCTCCGTTTGCTCGGGGGGGACCGTCCCGAGGGGAGCGGGCTCGGCTCGGCTCCACCGATGCCTGCAGCCCCGGGAGGAGCCCGGGCGGCCCCCGGGGATGGCCCCTCGGCTCGGCGTCCAGGCACGGCCTCGGCGGGGGGAAAAAAGAAACAAACTAGTGTGGTTGTTAGTATTATTTTGTTTTGGTTGGAGTTTTCTGGAGGTAGGGAAGCAGGCTGGGAAATAAGGCGCGGCGGCTTCTCGGTGAGAGGCCCCTCCGCCTTCTCCCGGGGCCGAGGAGAGAAGGGAAGGAGGGTGCGAGCACAGCCTGGCCCCGACCCGGCCGTGGCTCCGGTGGCTCTTCTCGGAGACACCCAGCAGCGAGACCTGGCACCGCTCTCTCTCCTTCCCAGGGGGTTGGAGAGCCTCGCACCGTCCCCCACGAGCGCTTTTGGGGCGAGGGGAGGCAGCGGGCCGGCACCCGTGGGGAGCCGTGGGCCGCCCGTGCTGTCCGTGCCGCCGCCGAGCTGATGGGAGACGCGAAATGAAACGCTGGGTAAAGTGGTTGCGGGTGGCTAAATAAAGCCCTGCTCCCCCCCCCACCCCCCCCAGGGCTTTGTCATTTGTTTGTGCCTCTCCGGACTAGGAGGAGGGTGAAGGAATTAGCGAATTCCGGAGTGGAAGGTCTGCTCTCCGTCGCGGTTTGGAAGGAGCTTTATTAAAAGGCTGGGAAAAAAAAAAAAAAAAAAAAAAAAAAAAGGAGGGGGGGGGAGTGGGGGGCAGAATAAAACCCCCCTCCCAACCCGAGCAAAGCTTACCGTTATGGCCATCTAATTCAGAAATTTCGGGAGCAAGGACTAGCCGCGCTAGGGAAAGCCAGGGCTCCTCCAGCGTGCGCTCCCGAGGCACGCCGAGTTAGCGGAGCAGAGAGAAGCGAGGCGCTGCTCCGCTGCATTTTCCAGCCATTATCCCCCACCGGGAAATTTCCCGATGAGAAGTAGAGCGTCGTCATTTCGGGGGGTCGCTCGCCGGCCCTGCTGCCCGGCGAACGTGCCCCCGAATGCCTTTGATTTAGGAGGGAAGAAAAGTGGCACGTTTCGAGATGCCGCTGGATGCGTCCCGGCTTTTCCAGCCCTACTGATCCTCAAGAGCAACGAGGCGACCCCGAGAGCAGGTTTATACCCACAGCTCGGGTGTGTTTTATGTGTCTGTCTTCCTTAAACAGGCCGGGCGTGCGCTTCTGCACACTCTGCTTATTAAGGGCAACGTTTAAATGCATACAGCGAATTCCTGATCTTTCATCGTCTTAAGTACGGGTGGAAACACATTTAAAACCAAAGCTTTGCATCCAGGGATGACAGGCCGGGGGAATAAGCGCCTTCGGTTCCCGAGACGAGTGTTTAGTGCTTGGGAGGGAGAAGGGGAGAGGGAGGAGGCGGGA